TGCTGGTGAGTTATCATCAGTATCGACTTCTTGATTTTGGTCACTGTCCCATGGTCGCAGAATATCCGTGTTTTTAGGGAACACACAGGGACATCTCTGGGGGCGGAGGGGCGCAACGTCTCTAGCAGCCCAGTCAAAGGGAGCACGTACACACAGGGAGAAGAGGCCAGGCGCCCCTGTGGGGGAAACGTGGCGGCAGACAACACGCGGGCTCTTAACCGGGTCTCTGCTTCTGGCTGGCCTGAGGTCCCATCAGAACATGGTGTTACACAGAAACGTGGATGTGCCACCACACAGATGAGCCTCAGAACCACCAGCCTGGGTAGGACCAGGCCACACCCCGTGGGCCTCGGTCAGCAAGCTGGCCAACAGGGGCCAGGGGAGGGTGGGGGGCAGCTCAGAGTGGGCAGGGGACCCTTCCCGGGAGACGGAAATGTTTCGAACTGGACAGAGGTGGTGTCTGCCCAGGGCTGCGTGTCCTCACAGCCACTGACTTGCTCAGCTTAAAATGGTGACCTGTAAGTTACAGGGGACTCCCTCCAGTTCTTAAAAACCCAGCTGTGTTTCGTGCAGTCTGGAGCAAGGGGGCCTTGGAGCCAGGCCCCAGGTGGGCTCTGAAAGGACCCTGCAATGGAAGGAACAGCAGAGCAGGTGGCATGTGGGGGAAGGGAGGGCAGAGAGGGCCTCGGGGACCTTGCACACATAGCCCCACCTGTGCCAAGCAGACCAGGCAGGTCACAAGGTCCAAGGCTTCAAAAGGACAATGGCCCTGGGAAACATGAAGCTTCAACTCACAAATGCCACTTCCTTCCCTGCCCTCCAGAAGTGTCCTGTTTCCCTCAAGACACCGGATCCCCAAAGCCAGAGGAGTGGGAGAAAGTCTCATCACGACCTGTGGGAACCCCTGGGCAGCGCTCATGCCCACGGAGCTGCCCAGGGACCAGGGCCAGCAGGGGACACTTCTCGCTTGGGGACCGGTTACCTCCCAGGTGTGTGACCGCCAGGACGAAAAGGGGGCCTACTGACTTCCAGTATCAGGGAGGACAGGAGGTACCGTGGACAGTGGGGGCTCTCCCCGGGAGGACGTCCGTCGTTTCCAGATGGGCCAGTTCCAAGGTCTGGGGACTAATGACACTACCCTGAGAACCACTATCGATCCCAGCAAATTGTTATTCTGACTTCAGAGTTATGTGACAGAGCCTTCTCTTCCTCCTCTGACCACGCACAAAGCAGTCCCTGCTCCAGGCGGTCACCAGTCCCCAAGTGACAGCAGCCCGGCTGGGTCTCCCGTTGCATCCCTGACCCCCAGCTCACTTAGCACGTGAACTCAGCAGGAGTGATGCTGCTTCCATAGTAAGGACACCTACACTCTTCGCACCTGAGCCGGATTCATCCCTACAAGACTCTGCTCCCCCCATTGTAGTGACTGTCACCATGGGCTGCTCATGGATCTAAATTCACCGCAGCCTCTGCCCAGGGCACCCCGAGGTGTCCACACCACCGAGACGGCTGTCCATTTCCTTGTCCCACAGCGTCCTCTACAGCTCCCCAGCTGCCAGGTCAGCACAGGGCACCCGACCTGGTGGGGACTGGCAGCCAGGGCTCCCCAACATCCTGGTACTTTGCCTCTGACGTGCAAACCTTCTCCTAGGCACGACATTCAATCCTTCATTACAACTGCCTTTCTAATGACAAACGGAAAAATCCAATTCATCTGACAAAATCTGTCTTAGCCCATACTTGGCATTCATTCTGCCATGCGACTCCCGTCACCTGCAGGGACAGCTCAGGGACAGTGGGGTCCCGGCAGAACCCGCTATTACCGTCGTTACCTGGGGCCCTTTTCAAACGAGGGCCCTAGACCCTTAGCTAGACCTGCCGAAGGGCTCTGGTCCCCTCTGCCTCTCCTGCCCTGTGTCCTCAGAGCGGCCACACTCGCCCCCCGCCCCAACCTTGGGGGCTGACTTCCCCTTCTGCCAGGACCGCCCCCTCTCGCCTCCTCTGGGCACTGCTCCAGGTCTGAGAATGACCCCTTTGCCCTGCTTGAACCTCTGTGACAACAAGCAGGATGGGGACGGTCCTGTGTTCCTCTCAGCTCTGCCTGGTGTGGGAAACAGCTGGGAACAGCTGAGCTGGCAAAGGACGTGTAGGTGAGCGCCGCAATCCCATGAATGCACGCCCCGTGCCCCCGCCCCGCGCCCCTGTGGTCTCACCTGGTCCCCCACCTTGTGGGCGATGACGGCGGCCCCTTCCTCCAGTTCTGTGTCACTGAGCGGGCGGATCCGAAGCGCTACCTGTGGGCAGAACACCATGGTGGCTGCCATCCAGAGGCCCCCCCCCCGGAGGCTGCTCCCCATCCTCCCACTGCACCAGGGCCCCGCACCCTGCTCCACAAGGGTCTCCCTGTAACCGACCTCAGCTCACCAACCACCAAGTAGGCTGAAGTCCCCCCCGCAGGGCCTGGAGCTTGTTGGGGGAATCACAGGGCTGGCGGGGGGTGGCGGTAGAGGCAGAGACAGGGGAGTAGAAGCAAGGCCCTGGAAGGGGACCCAGAGCCCCGCACACTGACCTGTGCCAACAAGGCACCAGGAGGGTCAGGAGGTGGCAGCCTGGGAACACAAGGGGGATGCTCACCGTGAGCGGCTGGTCCTTGGGCTCCACCTCTCTCATGGCTGGGCTGCCCCTGGCCGGGGAAGGGCCGGCCGTGGGGCCGGCAGTGGGGCCGGCGGGCATGGCGTGCTCCCTGCTCTCCTGGCAGGCAAGGCAAGGCTACCTGTCTGCCCAGAGCCCCCACCCCCGCCCGCCCTGCCTCAGTGACATCAGCAAGCCCCAGGAGCCCAGCCAGTCCTTAACTGTCGCACACACGGGACTGCACACGTGGTTCGGGAGGCCCCGAGCAGCTGGGTGGCCTGGGCCCCGGAGGACACAAGCCAGCTGCATGCTGGGCATGGGGGTCGGGCTCCAGACCTTGGCCCAGACTTTATGTCTCTGCCCTCACTCACTGCCAAACCCCAGGTCTCCTGGATTGCTTCACCTGCTCTATAGGGAAGCCTGAGAGCCAGAGGCTTGGCCTTAGAGTGTTTCCACCAACGGGCAGCCAATCCCACCAGCTAACATTTAACAAAAGTAATCTCGACTACAAATGCTTCTCCCCATGAATGCAATTCTAGAACAACCTTCAAGTGACCTTCTGGTTTCTGCTCGGGACATCTTTCTAGCTGCATTTCATCTCCACCACACCCTGGGCCGGACTGGCACTGACCATCAGGCATCTGTGCAGGTGCACCTGGCTGTGCCCCGCTTTTCCCCACAGCCTCTGGGGCGGTGTGCCCTCACGGGTAGAATGATTGGCATGAACAAGCAGCTCCTGCATTGGATAAAAGTCACTCAGAGGCCAGATCCAGTAAGTTTACGCCGGAGAAATCTGTCTTGGGAGACTGCAGCCACGTGCTAGGAGGTGCAGAGGCCAGTGGAGCGGCAGGGGCCGGGCCTGAGCTCAAGTGATGCCCCCCAGGTCAGCATAGCTGTCCCAGCCTGGCCGGGTTCTCTTCTGGGCGGCAGGTCAGCGCTGAGCACCAGGGGATCCCCACCCCACCACCGACGCAAGGGGACCAGAGCGCGCCGCCCACTGTGATGCCCGTATCTCCCTTCCACGAAGGCTCCAGCCTGTGACCCACCGGCAGATGCTGGAGAGCCCGAGGCTCTAGTTCCCGCACGAGAGCAAAGGTCTCCTCTGGAGACAGGACCAGGATGGCTGGTCCATGCTGGGGGAGCTGGGGCTGCGCCCACCCCGATGCCCCAGCCAGAGGCCAGAGCGCAGAGGCCGCCCCCGACACAGGACAGGTCAAGCCTGGGAAACCCGTTTCTAGAGCAGAAAAGAACACAAGCACACGTGTTTCAGAAATTCTTTTATTAACAATTTATGTAAAACAATTACAACTAACAAGTTTAAAACAATCAAAAGTAAATTTTTTGAAAGCTCTGTTAAAAATCTGGGGAAACGACCAAAGCCTGGACCCTCTCTTTCCTACCGCCATCAAATGTAAAACCCAGGACTCGGCACGCTGAGGTTTAAAGGATGTGAGTGTGAACAAGGGGCACCCGTGTGTTGACGGGGAGCCGGGACAGCAATGGCTGGAACCGGGAGTGGAACACTGTGCCTCGCGGCCGGGCCCGGGGTCGCGACAGGCCGCCCACCTGCTCCTCCAGCGCGGCCCCCATGGGTCAGGGACTGCCCGGGCCCTGCAGACGACAGCTTAGCCTCCAATCCCAGAACCTGCCAGGTCCATGTGAGCCCTGGTTGGGCGTCTGCAGCGTGCCATCCCATGCTTCACTGCTGCCCATGTCAAGCATCGGGCTCCGGGACAGACAGACAGAAGTGCAACCACGGCAGCCGAAAGGCCCGACCATAGCAGATGTTGCAAATAAATAAGGGCCAAGGTTACACGTCCTCGTCTGCCCCTTTCCAGGAGAAACGTGAAGTTAGATATTCAGAGCACCACACGACAGTGGCTCAAGTGACAACTCTCACAGACAACTTCAGACGTGCACGACTCCAAGGAAAAGTCTAGAGGGGTTTTTCTCACCGGGTGAAATGAGCACAGAAAACAACAGCTGATAAGCCCGTTTCCTGCAGGGACGGGGCCGCTGCTGTACTTTACAGAGCTCAGCTGGAAACGCACAGCCACAGGAGGACGGAGGCCTCCCTCCTCGCCACGTCGGCCTCGAGGGCCGGCAGCAGCGGGCGTGCTGAGCCCAGACTGCCACCACGGCCGGGGGCAGGGGGACAGGCACCAAATTCAAGGCCGCTATCTACGTGTAAAAACAGGAGAAAAGACAGCGTTTTCGTACAGGTTTGCTTTTATTTCCACGCTCAGCCTGTTGAGAAGCCGGCACAACCTGAACGGTGCCTACAGGGCGCAGCTTCCCTGTGGCGGCCGGGACGCAGCTGGGACACAGCCACGCCGGCCTGTGCGCAGGGCAGAACCAGTCCTCTAGGGGAGGTCGCTTGGCTGTGCACCTCAGGAGGATGGGAGGGGCCCCTGCAGTGGCACACAAGTGTGAGGAACAAACACTGGTGGTGTGATTTTAAAAATCCCAAACAAGAAAAAATTTAAAGCAGTGCCTTCGATCCTCCCCTGCGGTGGAGACCAGGGGCTAAAGGCACAGTAACGTGTGGAGATGCGGTCATCCGGGCACACAGTCTAGAGCAAGAGAAAGCACAGGTAAGAATTCAGGCATCGTGCAGGCTTCCTGCAGAAGGACGACCTGGTTCCAGCACGTGACGCGGGGATGCTGCAAGAAGGGAGCAGGCACTCACTCTCTGCTCCACACCTTGACAAGAGGCACGTTAGCAATAGCGACCCCCGACAGCGCGGCCTGATGGGCCGTCACTGACTACACGGTCTCAGAAGGCATCTGGAAGGGACTCTGGAGGTCTGTGTCAACTTGATGCCCGAGACGAGCAGGAGCAGATGCCCCGGGGGACAGCCTCCACAGCGAGAGCCTCGCCTGAGGACCCGCCCCGTGGGTGACTCTGGGTCCTCGTGCGTTCACTGAGAAGCGCCCTGCCTCGCCTGACTAACCGGGTTCTGCAGGCTCCTGGCTCTGCGGAACACACGGAGGCCATCTCCCAGCTACACATCTGGAGACGGTCCATGGCCGGCCTCCTTCCTCCTCCCCAGCCTGTGTCCACAACCAGACCCCACTCACAAGGCGCCCTGCCCTAAATCTGGGACTCGAGGTCCTGCTGCCCTCAGAGGAGAGCTCCAGCTCTGACAGCCAGGATGAGCACGGGACCCCTGCTACTGCTACACAAGGGACATCCTGACCCCAAGGACGTGACCCTGGGAATTTCCTCACTTGAGGGACCACAGAACACATCAGGGTCCTGCTCGTCCCCACCTGAAGAGGTCTTACCACAGTGCTTGGGTCACTCCTGATTTCCCAAGGGAATGATCTCCTCAGTAACGAAGAACTCGATGGTCTCCTCCTCCCAGTCCTCCACGTTGCTGTCCAGCTCGTCTGTGTCCACACCTGCGAGCCGGCGAGGAGGGTGAGCTGCACACACACACTCACACCCACACCCACATCCCCGCATTAGCTGAGAGCCCAGTGTGAACACGGCAAGGTTCCCTGCAGACGACTGCGGCCGTGGGAAACTCTCGTCCCTGGCGATTTAAGGATCTTTACAACACGCGACGTTTAACTAGAACACTCACATGATAGGGGAGAAAAATGTCTCAGCTAACGCATACTCTAAACCACGGGTCTCCCGCTCATCGTTACCTCCTCGCAATTCCAGACGTTCACTCTTCTGCTCCATATAAAGTTCTTGGGCCATTTTCCGGTATTTTCGGAAATCTTCCATCATGGTGCGTCTTCTCTCCACCAGTTCCTATGCATGGAGTTGGGGAAAGCTGACAGACCCCCCGCCCCCCACCGTGGCCAGCCCTGGGTGCCGTGAGCACCACTCTTGGGAGAGGCTCTTGGGACAGGAATGGGGACACGTGCTCTCCTCCTCCCTCCCCTCACTCGGACCAACCCCATGTCCCCCACATCTGGCTGGCCAGCCCCCCGGAGAAGTGTGCCAGGGCCCACCAGTCTGCACACGGCAGCGGCACAGCGAGCGTCTGCGGCACACGCCGCCGTCCCCGCCAGGCCTGACGCTGGCTCCTCCCTCAGTCCGGGAGCACTAACCTTTGAGGCTTTGGACTGGCTCAGACGGTCCTTCTGTTCAAAGATCTTTGAGTATTTCTTCAGATCCTTTTTAATTTGCTGAAACAAAAACAAAGACAAGACACTCAAGACTGAAATGTTCAAAGGATCTCCAAAGTTGTCAACGTGCGACAGCCTCAGGATCACAAGCACAGAGATGCCCACGAGCACACGCACCGGCGCCGCCTGCAGGTCTCACTGCGAGAGCGCCTGCCTCTCACGGGAGCCACGTCCGGCAAGCTCGGCCCTGACGCCGGCAGCACACTTCACCGTGACTGCACACATGCGGACACCCTCTCCCAGCACCGCCAGCACGGCTTACATCCCCTCCGCTCCGTGCAAGTGTCCTCAAAGAGCACGGACACGACTGGCCACAACCTACAAACCCAAGTATATGACCCTGCAACTACTCCTTTCTATGGGGCCCCCGGGGCTCTCGCATCTCTTCAAAGGGCGCCCCAAACCTCCCGTTTCCATTCCTCAGGTGTGACCACCCGAACACTGACAGAAAAGAAGTCTCTGTCAGTGCCCTGAGCGCGTCCGCGTTCTCCTGGCCCCGGGGGCCCCAGACCTTTATCTGATCCTGGCTCAGGAGCGTGGGGGGGCGCGGTCTCCACAGCAGCTGGCAAAAGCGGTCCTTGTTGTTCTTCTGCAGAAGGCGTCCTTGGAACGTCCACAGCCAGTAAGCGTTGTCCACCTGCAGGGGGCAGAGGCCCAAGCGTTGCTCATACTGTGACTCCCGCAGGACGTGCTCCTGGCCCTGCGCCCTCACAGAGCCCAGCACACCAAGCATCTCGTCCACATGGTCTGGGAGCCCTCACGTAGCTACGCTGTCGGCACCCAGGAGACCGCGGAGAGGCGCGCCCGCCCGCAGCCCAGGAACACGGTCCACAGGCCCAATGGGAGGTGACATGGGGTGCAGCCGCACAGCCACCAGCACAGGCACTCCTGCCAGAACCCAGCTACTACATCAGCAGATGCGCTGTCCCTCCCGCTCAGCGGGCATCTTTCCTGACAAAGGAAATGGCACCGGGGCCGTCTCGCTGCAGACTGGCCCTTCTGGAGCCTGGGGCACCGGACACTGGCCCCAACATACAGGCTCTTTCCAAGACACAGTGTTCAGGGATGGCTGTGGGGTGGGAGCTCCCGCACGTTTGTGCTTTGTCACAAAGAATCACGCTGATTTGATTGCTCAGGCTCTGCATACGTGCATGAGCTCCTTCGAGTCTCAGCACGTCCACCAGCAAGAAAGACTCGGCTGAAAAAAAGGCTTGGCGGAGCTCACCAGCAGCCCAGGAGCACTGAGCATGGGAACACGGCTGCAGACCCGCCAGCACATGCATGCCACACAGAACCACCTTGGACACAGCCTCTCACGCTCATGAGTGTGGCATTTCTGAAGTTTTTCAAGTTACGGATGTTTGAGACTGAGGACAAGTGCACACACACGTTTTCATGTCCTTTCGGGGAGTCCCAGACCCTCGGGCAAGCAGCTCTCTCCAGTGGCTCCCACGTGGCACTTGTCCCCCGAGCCAGCACGACTGAATGAGGACCACGTGCCAGGCAGAACCAGAGAAGGCCCAGCCCACATGACACCACACAGTAAAAAGAAGAAATACAGTGTAAACAGTGGCCTCAGGGGACCTGGTGCCCCTCAAGCACCCGGAAAAGGAAAACAGAGCAGGGCGGGGGAGTGGTACCCTGAGGCAGAAACCCCCCCCCCCACACAAGGGAACCACAACTCGGGCAGGAGAGTCGCAAGCATGGGCCGCACGGTCGTGCCCAACGAGCAGAGGCCAGCAGAGGCCGCAGAGGGCCTGGCAAACTGGGTACCAGATAAAGGGGGTCCAAACCACGGACTTCTTGAGGGGAAAATGATCCTACTGGGAAAGTGCACGTACAGCACGGCCCGCCCTCCCCTGCCTCTGAGCCTCCTAGGCCCGTGTGGGTGAGCTCCCGGCTGTGGGGAGAAAGCACACCCGAAAAAGCCCCCCAGCTCCTGCTCCAGAGGAAGGGGGCTGGTCTCAGGCTGCAGCCAGCCTGAGAGGCGGTCCAACTCAGGAAAGGAAATCAAAGAACACCAACCAGCTCGTGGAAAAGCTGGCCGTCTCAGGGGTGCTACCGAAGAGCTTTCCGGAGCTGCCAGGCAGGGCAGCAAACGTGACTAACAGTACCCACCTCATGGAGACCCAGTGTGGCGGGGGGGCAGGAACACGCAAGGCCCAGCACAGCTGGGTCCCACACCACACAGGCCACACGGGGCCCCATACCTTATGGCTCCACCAGGACACAGAGGTGACAACATAGCGCCCAGTGGGGTCCCACTCCACGTCGGAGGCCATGTAGTGCTCTGCGATGTTCATGACTGTACAGTCCGACGTGTCAACGAAAGCCAAGGCACCATTCATGCTGGGGAGACAGAGCAGTCAGCGCGCCCACAGCCTCCAGGCGTTCTACTCCTCAGGCTCTGGTGTGGACGCAGAGCCCCGCCGTTGAGGAGGAAGTACTCCGTGGGGAAGACACGTGGAAGCCCGTGTGTGCGCCTCAGATTATCTAAAAACAGCAGGCGCCTCCCATGGAGGTCAGGAAAGCAGGAACTCTGAGTGCGTTCTGCTGACGCACCCGCGGACAGGGGCACCTCAGGCTCCCGTACAGCTGGGACAGCGGGTGAGCAGGGGCATGGAGGGTAAATGCCGCCGCACTCATGCTCACGCTGCAGAAACAGCCTCGCACCCGTCCATCTGCTCAAAAAGACTTCCCGCAAGATGACGCGGGTTTCCCACTGAGCTCACTGCCCGGCCAGGAAGACATCTCGTTCAACCATGAGAACGTCGCAATACTCCCACATCTTCCAGACAGAAAACACTCGCACTGCTTTCATGACCTGCTTTCAACCCAAGTCTGGGCAAGATGGAAACACAATAAACCCATCCACCAAAAGTACGGGGACAGCCCTTTCACACGAGGACGCTCCAGCACCATGCGGAGGAACCCAAATCAGGCCCCATAGTGGCCCACAGAGAGCTGGGAACCTCGAGCACAAGGCATCAGGCCGCAGAAACCCACCTCCTCAGGCCAGCCAACACCACGAACTGTCCCTGGGGGCTCCAGAAGATGGTATTTGCCTGCTGCTTGTCAAACATTTCTGAAAACAAGAAGAGCATCTGTTAAGTGTCTGTCAAGGTGCCAAAAGCAGGGTGTGGCTGGCATGGGCGACAGGCTCACGCTGCCCTATGCGGTACGTTCTCACGTGCACCCCACACCAGCCCGGTGTCCAGGAGCATGATTTTGGAAAACCCTGGGCCGAGTTCACTTTGTCAGAAAATACGTTTCAAGAAGAGAGGAAGCATTCTAAAGCTACGTTACCGTTTGTAGTTAACGTCTCATGTTCAAAACAATTTACTTCTCAGGGAAGTTAGAGGAGTCACTATAAACACGGTCACAGGGTCTCCATGAGGGCAAGGAACCCACCCTTTCACCCAGTGTAGAGACACAGGACCCAAAAAAGCCCAAGATCCATCCATCCAGTGACTCAAACCACCTTTCTCAAATGCTGCGGTCAAAAACGTGAAAGCCACCATCTCTCCAACCGCACAGCCCAGCTCTATCCAACAAGGACCCCACAGAGCCCCTGGAGAGCGGACAGCACTCAGCCTTCACCCTCGGGCCTCCAGTCAAGGGCACAAAGTGAACCCCAGCCCGACCTGGGCCTGCAGTGGATCCACAGACCGGGGCCGAAGGTGACAGGGAGATGGGGAATGGCAGCAGAGCCCACCAGGCAGGATTCTCAGACCAAGATAAAGGTGGGAGAGAAAGCCATAAGATGTCCCCGAACGGCCATGGACATGTCAGCAGGCCCCACATGGTCACCCTTCCAAGTGGGCAACCCTGAGCCCTCAGGAAAGAAAGGTGTGTCTACACTGGCTACTCACAAACCTGCTTTCTAACCAGAGACAGTGCCAACCTCCTGGCAGCCCAAACAGCCCCTCTTTCCTTCTACATCACAGGGAATTAATAGTGCAGTCGGTTTGGTGACAGACACGCTCCCTGTCTCCTGGGAACACCGCTGAGCTCCCAGCATTCCCTCAGGACAAGCTCAGCACCGGAGCCGCTGGGTACGGGGACACACAGCCCATTTCCACTGCTGAGGTCCCCACACGACACAAGCAACTGTTCACCCCATGGTAGACGATGCCCTGGAAGGGCCTGTTGCAACCAGGAGCGGGTCACTGAGGGAGGCCAAGGAATGAGGGGGGCCCCTCTCAAGCGGAGCAGAGCACAGCAAGACGGGGTCCCCAGCAAAGAGACAACAGCTGTGGCCACGAGAAAGAGAGTGCATCTGCTCAGAACCCCTCTCTTGGAGAGCCTAGTGGGAGCTCCCTGAGGGGCCACAGCCTGTGCGGCCACCGCGAGGAAAGCCAGAGCCACAGGGCCCTCTTGGCTGCGGGACAGCCTGAGCAGCGCCCCCAGCCAGCAGAATAAGCGTGTGCAGTGACCCTCCAGAGGGCCCGTCCGTCTGTCCTCCCTCCCGTGCGCCCATCAACAGGGCAAGGTTACTTACTGATGAGCTCGATCTTCCCATTGTTCTTCACGTGGTAGAAGGAAACGGATATCCGCGGAGCTTCCCCGTGCAGCACGGCAAACTTACTCCCGTTTGGCTCCCAAGCAAAGGCTATGATGGTTTCTGCAATCAAGAAAGACTTAAGTCTTAGGCGCCTGGGTGGCTCAGTTGGTTGGGTGACTGCCTTCAGCTCAGGTCATGATCCCAGAGTCCTGGGATCGAGTCCCCCATCGGGCTCCCAGCTCTGCGGGGAGTCTGCTTCTTCCTCTGACCTCCCCTCTCATGCTCTCTCTGTCTCTCTCTCAAATAAATAAATTTTAAAAATCTTAAAAAAAAAAAAAAAAAAGAAAGTTAAGTCTCATGTTTTCTTGGTCGCGTAACGAAGTAACGTTCCTAATCGATGTTCCTGCACAGCCTTCAAAACTCAACCAAAGAAAACACTCAAAATCCTTAAGTTTGTTAAACCACACGGGAGGCCTAGGAACGAGGGCACAGGGACTTGGGTGAGACCAGCCTGGCCAGGCGGGAATGCCGCCTAAGTGCACCCTGCTTGCTGGCGCTCGCCTCTGTTCTCCATACAGGACTCCACGGTCCCTCGCAGCAGACAGCACAGAGCACCCAGGCCGTACCCTCTTGCTCTGTCCTCCTCTCCCTCGCAGACCAGAACACAACTAAGACACAAAACCCGCCAGCGACACAGGCTCCACTTCGCACTTGGAGGCACCAGAGAACCTGCTCGGTTTTAGGCCCAGAATAAAGCTCTCATCACCCGAGAACTCGTTTGTCACGTGAAAAGCCCTTCCACTGCCACTCGCTATAAACATAAGGAAAACCCACTCCCCGCGCATCTCTCAGCCGGAAACTGGCCAGGACCCTCGCTCCTCGGCCCGGCAAGGGTGTAAAGAGAGAGAGGGCAAGCCGCGTGGCAGCCCGAATGGAGACGCTGGTGTTCAGGCCCGGGAGGCAGACAGTGCGCGCAGTCAGGGCCGCAGCCACCTGTGCAGGTGGGCAGCGCAGAGCTCCAGGGCCCAGAGGGCCGCACATGGGGACCAGTGACCACAAGGGACCACACGGAACTTGCCTTTCATTTCCACCACGTCGACAGGCACCTGTTTTTCCCTCATTCGGAAGATTTCAAAATTTGTGACAACACCCTGTTCGGGAGAGAAAACATGGGGGTGATACTGTGGAAACTGAAAGCGCGAGAAAAACGTACCCCGACGACAAGAGAACAGGACGGAAGAGGACACATGCACAGTCGGTAAAGGTGTGTGAGTATCTACGTGATGGAACTCGGCCCGGGAGGTTCCAGCCAGCACCCTGGACCACCAGAGGCACTCACAGGTGCCATCCCGGTGCAGGACAGCAGGGTCCCTCGGCCCTCCTGTCACACCCCCGCACGGAGGCTCAGGGCTACGCAATGCAGCTTGTCTGCCAAACTCCGCAGCGCCCTGGAGGCCCAGCACCGGGGTGTGTGTGTGTGTGTGTGTGTGTGTGTGTGTGAGAGAGAGAGAGAGAGAGAGAGAGAGAGATATCCTGCAGCGATCTTCTGAGAGAGAGAGAGAGTATGAAAGAGACCCTGCAGCGATCTTCTGGACACGGGCATTAAACAGAAACCAGGATGCTGCCTCATCCCGGACAGCCTGAGGGTGCAGATGACAGGTGGATCTACCCACAGGCACGTGCACACGGGCTGGTACAGCCACCTAGCAGAGCACCACTCAGCACTGACCCGGAATGAGGCACAGACACATGCCACAGCGCCAGGGGAGCCCTGAAAACGTGCTCTGTGAAGGAGGCCAGGCCGCACGATGCATGCCTTCATTCCCACCAAGTGTCTCGACACTTCTGTGTGGGAAGGAGGTGGAGCAGCAGGTGTCGGGAGCCAAGGGGATGGGGCACTGGGGTGCTGACGGGTGCGGGCTTTTCTAGAGGATGAAAACACTCTCCAGTTAAGAATGTGGCGGGGGGGGCGCCTGGGTGGCTCAGTGGGTTAAAGTCTCTGCCTTCGGCTCAGGTCATGATCCCAGGGTCCTGGGATCGAGCCCTACATAGGGCTCTCTGCCTGCCTCTCTGCCTACTTGTGATCTCTGTCTGTCAAATGAATAAATAAAATCTAAAAAAAAAAAAGAGAACGTGGCAAGGACCGCACAGGCCTGTGAGGATACCAAGAAGCCAGTGGGGCTGAAGACCAGCCACAGGTGCAAACAAACAAGCCACTGACACCCTTTAAACAGGAGGTGGGCGTGGAGCTGGAAGGAGGGGCCTCTGCTCGGGGGCATCCACTCACCTGGGTCCCTTTGGGGGTCCTATCCACTTTGACACACAAATAATCCCCATTTTTCTGCCAATGCAGCTTGCAGTCCACCACGTTGAACAAATTCCGAACCCTGATCTCTTGTCTGGTGGGCAGCTGCATCAGGGTGACCCTGGCTGGGATATCTTTGTCCTCAGGCACCCAAAAGGCTATGATGTTACCCCCAGGAGACCAGGAAAAGTCCCTGCAAGACAAAGAGAACACAGTGTCAACTGAGGAGTGGCCAGGACGCCACCAGGAAGGGAGCAGAGTAGCGGACATCGGGCTCACCGGCCAGAAACCAGCCCGGCGGCTCTGCTGCCACATGGCAACAGCCACCTGCCCTGGGAGCTGCCCCCACCACACCCTGCAGCTGCTGGGCCCCAGTGGATGCCCAACACCCTCCAGCGCTCAGGGAAGAGCAGGCCTGAGGGCGTGACGGGGTCCCACGGTGGGAGGACCGGCTTCCAGCGTGCAGTCACCTAGAGGCCAGGCGCCCTCACAACCCAGACTCCCTCTACTGTGATGGTGATGGGGAACCAATTCCTGGTGTAGCTCGTATCGTGAGCCACCCTTGCGCCCAAGAACTCAACCCAAAAAGAGAACCATTCATGTCCCTGCACGACTGACCGCTCTCTGCAGAGACAGGCCCCTCTCGAGGGGGCACATGAGCCGAGTGTGCCTGCATTGGGCCATTCACCGAGGACCACCCAAGACCCCTGCTTGGTCAGCAGACCTCACAGAAGCCTGTCAGCGACGTGGAGCCCTTCGCCCTCCGCCTGTCTTCCCCGAAGACTGCAGCCCGAGTCTCTAGTCCCCAGGAAGCAGCAGGACACAAAATAGAGCCTGGGACTGCACAAAGGGTCTACATGCAAGAGAAGGGAATGTGGGCCGTGAGCCCCACAGAGTCGCAACAAGCAGGCCAGGGGTGGTGGGCCGGGGCCTGCCATGCCGCCCTTGGGGACCAGAACGAGGACACAGTGTCCTCTCCAGCTGAGGAAGCACTGAGTGCCGGAGCAGGGGCCGCCCGCTCCTACAGCCCACCTGTGACAACACTCACTCACTTTATGCCGGAGATCTTCAAGCTCTTCTTGTCCAACAGGCCCATAGACTGGGAAAAACAAGGGTTACAATGGAGTTAAATCACGCCACTCTCTCCATAACACACCTGCATTTTCTCAAAAAGGAAACAAAAGTTTCTGGAATGAGCCCAACAAGTAAGCCCAGCGGGGAACACACAGCAAGGAAACAGTTCACCCGCAGCAGCAAAGTACCCATCTCCAAAGGCCCTTCTGTTTCCTCCTATCCCGGACTGACGGCAACAGCACAGGCACATCAGGGTAGCCAAGGGAAAGGGGCAACTGCAGAAAGGCTGGGCTCCCGTCATTCTGCACACATTCACTGCTCTACCCGTCCCCTCACCCGTGAGACAAGGGAAAACCATGCCCCCAGGAAACCGTGTCACTTACAGGAGTTTCATAAATGCTAAGAGTGTCGAGGGTCATTCTGGCGAAGAATTTACCATCGTGGCTCCACCTGAGAGAGAAGAGAAGTGTCAGGCCCTGTTGTGAGCAGAGAAGACTCCCACACGCTTGCCACGGGCCACCACATTTACTCACTTAAAGATCGGCCAGTGGGCTGAACTCTCGCAGTGGAAACCCCTCTTCTTCTGTCCGGTCAGGATGTCCCAGATGATGATGGCTTGAGGGTCGTCCGGAGTGTCCATCAGGGGGCTGAATGTCACTAGATACCTGTCACAAAGGGAACACTGTTGATGATCCCGCTCACCGTCCCACCTTCTCCTCCCCACGCGTCACACTGTGTGTGGGCGAGGTGAGCACTGGTGCCCACCGAGCCTCCACTGCAGACGGCGCCAGGCCTAGGAGCGGCTGTCAGACTCAGCACGGTCTCCAAACCCTGTCTTCTGGGAAGGCTCTCCCCCCCACAACCCACTCTGACCGTGGAGCAGACCATCTGCGAGGCACCAGGGCACTCCAGGGGCGGCCCCCTTGAAGGCTTTCTCCACAAAATCAGGACACTGGCAGACCCAGCAGATACCAAACCGAAGTCTGCGTGTGTTCCAGACGGACTGGGGTGCCATTCTTGATTTTCGTCAATGTTTAGTTGGCCCAGGGAAGGAAACAGATTGGCTACGTGCATTTCAAAAACCAGCACTCATCCAGCTAGGCCAATCTCTGTGCCTGGAGCTCCTCACTCTCCCAACGCTGGCTTGTCTACGCCCAGGGCCCCCGTTCACTCTGCTGAACACAGCACAACCATCTAAGCCAGAGGGCCCCCTCAGAACAAGACTCAGGAAAAGGCAGAAGCAAACTCGAGGAGAAAAGGCCGAGGATGGGCGCTGTCCAGGTGCCCCGAGGGCCTCCCGATGGGCTGGAGTCACCCGCACCCCCAAGTTACGAAGTTCCCCCTACAGACCTATCCCGGACGTCTATATCAATGTGACGCCGCCACGCAGAATGACAGAAACAGCTTGATTCACTGCTTATCTGGAAAATAGTCCTTTCACACCCCTTTGCAGGACGAAGCAGGCGCTGCTGCCTCACACAAGGGCTTCCTGGGAGCACCAGGGACAGACATTGAGGAAGATGGCCCGGGGGGCTGGCCTGGCACAGAGAGGTCTATGCACACCGACGACACCACACGAGTCTGGGACGCAGCTGAAAGCAGCCGCTGGCCGGCCGGAGGGGCTCCTCCCCGCACTCGCCATCCGCGCACAGGGCCGGGGAGTCTCCACGCACACCGGGTCCCAGCACGCGGCCACTGTAAGGAGCACCTCAGGTGTCCTGTCCCCAGAAGGTGACAGTGCCTGTGAAGTCGTGAGACCTCCAAGAAGACATGCCAGGAAAACGACTTCATCAAAACTAAGAACCGTCCATCACAGAGAAGTCACGGTTCACAGAAACACAAGGATGGAAGGAGCCAGTTATGGGCCGCCCTGAGGAAGCATCAGACACGCACGCCCAGCGGCCCCATCTTCCTCACAAGCCGCTGAAGCGCCACATGTGAAGGGCGGGCCACACAGGGTGACAGACGGACTGCACACACGGGTGCTAGGGCCGGACGCGGGTGCACGTGCACATTAGAAGATGCTGAGGGGACCAGTCAGGGCTGCCAGCCAGGAAGAAAGAACCATGACCAGAGAGAACGCACGCCTTCACCCGGACCAATGCCTGTTTCCTAGAGCAACCTAGCACTTGTCCAAAATGCCCAAAACAGGTAGGGTTTTTTTTGTTTTGTTTTGTTTTTAAAGAGAGGCAGGCGGAGAGAGGAGGAAGCAGGCTCCCCGCTGAGCGGAGAGCCCGATGCGGTGCTCGATCCCAGGACCCTGGGATCATGACCTGAGCCAAAGGCAGAGGCTTTAACCCACTGAGCCACAGGCGCCTCAACAGATAGGGTTTAAGATTTTATTCGTTCATTTGAGAAAGCTAGCAAGGGAGAGCAGAGCAGGAGGGAGAAGTAGAGAGAGAAAAGCAGGCCTCTTACTGAGCAGGGAGCCTGACACGGGACGCAATCCCAAGACCCCAGAGTCATGACCTGAGCTGAAAGCAGATGTTGCACCGACTGAGCCACCAAAGCACCCCTGCCCTAAACCGTTTGGAATTAAAAATGGCAAAATGAGAAATCATTAAAGCTAGATATTTACCATAGAAACCTTACCAACATCCTCTCTCTAGTTTTCCTGGTGTTAGGAGATTCTTATACCAAAAAACTCAAAAGCAGAGCAGATGTAGGAGAGCCACGTCTCAGGAGCCTGGGGACGCGGGGGGCTGTCACGACCTCACGGTGAAGTCAGACCACGTGGTCGGAGGCCGACCTCTTCTGGACAGAGGGGACACAACAGGGAAGGCTTGGGGACAGCCCTGAACAGGGGACACAAAGAGCGGTGCCACAGGGCATGCTGGGCCCCGAGGCCATCCATGAGCGCCCAGAAATGCACGGGGTGGGGGGGGCCCACCATGCTTCCCCTAAGGCCCAGTGGCTCGGGACCAAGTCGCGTGTGTCTGGCGGAGAAACAATAAAGCAAACCCCACCAAGCGCTAAGCGGGGAACGTCAGCAAAGGGTACACACGAGCCCCTCCTATGTCTCCTGGGACACTTCCGTTAGGTTTGAAATTACGGCACAATCCGAGCTGTACCGTTCGCACAGAGGCCGGCACGACGTGAGCACGGACCCCACCTGCCTGTCCCCCTGCTTACCTCTCACAAGGCGAGAAGTCAATGAGCTGAACCCCCTGGTGGCTGAATCTCTGGATTTGCTTGAACTTCTCCCCGCCCCAGAGAGCGATGCCTCGCTGATGGAACGTGGCCAGGTAGGTGCCCTTGGGGGACCAGCGCACGTACGTCTCCGTCCACCTCTGCGGGAGCAGTCAGAGCCCGTGTGAATGTGACCCCAGCACGCAGCACAAAGCCTCCTCTTTCTGCAGGGCGTCGACGCCTCAGGCTCTTAACCAGAAAACACAAGAAGCCTCCCCACATGTCGTGGCTTATTTCAAAGCCAGAACGAAGCACGTCGTTCTCAGGGATGCATTCTGGAAGGACACGGCACTTCACCTGCTCGGGTCCCCACCTCGCCGCCCACGGAAATAACACAGCAAGCCCCCATGCGGCAGCAAACACCCACCGCTCTCTCTTCGATGGAGACAGGATCCTTCACGTCGTTCCAGAATATGGAAGTTCGGTCCCCACTCTCAAAAATGACACTGTACTGGTCTCTGCACTCTGCCTCTTCAAGCCAGTACCGTAAATTTCCCTGGAAAAGGAACCAAAGGCAAGGGGTAGAGCACATCCCATCAACTTCCATCCAAGAAGCCATATGCCTGCCTCGTGCTCCTAGAGGTCCGAGCGACTCACGCCGGTAGGAGCGACTCCTAAGGAGCTCAGCCTTCAAGCCACAGGGCTGCCCAGCTTTCCTTTCAAACACGTACCAGGTCTTTGAAGGGCTGTTTCTCTGGAATATCCCACTCATCACTGATGGTCATATACCTGGAAGAGAAAAAGAAACTGATCAGCAACACACAGCATAACTACGGCGGGCGGGGGGGGGGAGGCAGGGAGAGACACACACACAATGACAATGGAGGCTCTCGGCCACAGGCTGTGTGGTGCTGCCCCTTGTCCCCCTCAGGGGAAGGGACAGGGGAGGGCAGAGTGGGTGAGGGGTGCTGGTGGCCAGGAGTGTCAGGGGCTGGGGCGGAACAGGAGCCTGCAGCGGCGGGCCTGGAGAGCAGAGTTCCCCGAAGGGTCACCAGCACAGTCCCAGAGATGCGGAGCCTCTCCTGCCCAGTGAAGGCCCGGGCTCTCACCCATTGGCACTTACTTGTCAAAGTCCGTGAAGAGGTTGACCCTGAATGTGTGCTGCTTGTCCAGCTTGTAGCCATCAGCATTCTTCACGGCGTCCAAGGCATGGGCAGGAGACGCATATTCCAGGAACGTATACCTGAATCGAGACAGAGTTCAAGTGCAAACTCTAAGACTAGGCAGGCTGTGCTCAACACAACAAGACCATCCATGTGACTTGTAAGCACCATCAAGGCCGGTGACCCATCTACTGTCACATCCCCGAGAGTCAAGTCACCGGTGGAGCAGTACCCTAAACACACACAAAATCCTAACAGAAGACCAAAAGTCCTTAATACCACAATCACAAATCAGACAACAGATGACTAATGAAATGTTTACTATCTCGACTGTGGTAGCGGTTTCACAGATGTATACGTGTCAAAACTTACAAGATCATGCACTTTAAGACTATGCAAGTGTATCGCATGGCAGCTTTCAAATAAAGCCATTAGAAAATCTGAGAACATGTGTAGTCTGATATTATCTATTAAAAGCAAAATTAAGGTGCCTCGTTAGCGCAGTAGGTAGCGCGTCAGTCTCATAAAAGCAAAATTATAGGGGCACCTGGGTGGGGCAGTCAGCTAAGCGCCAGACTCCTGGTTTCAGCTTAGGTCATGATCTTGGGGTTGTGGGACTGAGCCCCGTGTTGGGCTCTGCACCCTCAGCACGGTGTCTGCTTGGGACCCCTTCTCCCTTTGCTCCTCCCCCCGCAAATAAATCCTTTATAAAAAGCAAAATCATAAAGGCTTTCAGAGGATGCTTCAGAGTAGCAAACACAAGAAACCGCAGGTCAAAAAGAAGTTATCCTTCCACCTGATTTCTAAGACAGAAAACGTAAGAATCATAACCAGCATTTGGCAGTTTTTGTTTTTGTTTTTTTTTTTAACACAAAACGGTTTCTTAAAAGCTACCCTAGGTAGTTTCAAATCAGAATTAAAAAAGCATCGAATGCAAGTTGGTGCCGCCACTTTGGAGAACGGTGTGCAGATTCCTCAAGAAATGAAAAATAGAGCTTCCCTATGACCCTGCAATTGCACTCCTGGGTATTTACCCCAAAGATACAGATGTAGTGAAAAGAAGGGCCATCTGTACCCCAATGTTTATAGCAGCAATGGCCACAGATGCCAAACTGTGGAAAGAACCAAGATGCCCTTCAACGGACGAATGGATAAGGAAGATGTGGTCCATATACACCATGGAGTATTATGCCTCCATCAGAAAGGATGAATACCCAACTTTTGTAGCAACATGGACGGGACTGGAAGAGATTATGCTGAGTGAAATAAGTCAAGCAGAGTCAATTATCATATGGTTTCACTTATTTGTGGAGCATAACAAATAACATGGAGGACATAAGGAGATGGAGAAGAGAAGGGAGTTGAGGAAAATTGGAAGGGGAGGTGAACCATGGGAGACTATGGACTCTGAAAAACAATCGATGGTTTTGAAGGGGAGGGGGGTGGGAGGTTGGGGGGTTGGGGGAGCCAGGTGGTGGGTATTAAGGAGGGCACGTATTGCATGGAGCACTGGGTGTGGTGCAAAAACAATGAATTCTGTTATGCTGAAAATAAATAAATAAATAAATAAATAAAGCATCAACATTAACATCTTCTCATTCCTGTCCCATAAAAGACGATCTGCATGTATGGAGACCAGTATCACATAACACTCTCCTGGAGAAACGTCCCAAGGGCTTGCAGCACAGCAAAGAAAACTCGTGTTCTGCTGGTCACGTGGACCAGTTAGAACCACCCACGCACAATCCCATGTTGTCTCGGGGTGTTTGAAAGGGGTAAAAGGCATAACAGCGACATTCACAACGTCAACTGATGGAACAGCCTCGTGATACGAGAGTACGACACAGCACCGAAAATAAAGAAACCAGAGTCATGTTTACAAAAACCTCACACCGATTTTAAAAAAGCAAATTCTAGGACACGGACCTCATGCTACCAATTTTAACAGATGCGCTACTTGAGGTAACAGCAGGGGAGAAGTTGCTAATTGAAGCCGTGACTACAGCTTTCGCCTTTACTGTAAGAAGCATCCCCACCCATTTCAGAGATGTGAAAATGTCAGAGGGGGGAAAAAGCTCATTTTAGAATCAGTAAGATACCATATATAGAATTTTCCTGAAATCCTGCCAGCTTCCAGTCTGCTGGTCCCCTTATCCGGGAGGCATCTTATGTCAATTACCGCTCTGATGGCACAAGATTTAAAGAAAAAGCTCTGATTTCTTAAGAGTTCAGCAGCACACTCACAACGCCCAAATTCCAGAACCACGGGCTCTCCTGCCGAGGGTATGGAGCCCTCAGCTGAGGGTGGGGAATCAAAAAAGAGCAGAACCACTGGGGGAGGTGTGCACCGTGTGCATCCATAGGGACCTCGGCCACCGGACCGCCACCACTCACCCTTTTGTCTTCCCATCCTCCTCCGGGTAAAAATCATTTGTGATTTTCCCAAACTTGGAGAAGATCTTATGGATGACGTTTTTGAGCTTCTCCAGGCGGTCAGGCCCCACCTGAGGGACGTTGTCCACCACGATCACCGAGTCGATCCCATCGGCCTCCTGGGGCCGATCCTTGAGAATGTCCCCCAGCAGCTCTGTATGGACAGGAAATTGGACAAATGACTTTTTTTGGACCAAACACAATATTAATATTAGTTTAGCACGTTGAACAAATTTCCAAGAAGTAAAAAAATGAATAAACGCTTTCACTGTGAGCAAAAGAAATCATGGCCCTGAACTGAATCAAAATTTAAACTTAACAAGTGAGGAAGACTTTAACTCTGCATGCCCCTTCTGTCCACTGATATATCCATTCGTTCCTGAAAATAATGGAAGACTTCAAATGAAAATTTTTTAGAGATGTAGTAATACCGAATGCCAACAAAGAGGACGGGGCCTTTCTCCAGAAAAAGCAGGGCCACAGCCTCCAGCACGGAGCCTTCTTTGACCCACCCGGAATCAAACGCACAAGCAGGCACTTTCTCCCCATTCAGGTTAAGACAAAACAACTCAAACCCAACAGTACCCAGCACTATGTACAACAGCCTTGCAAGCAAGGAGATGAGACAACCCACAAGTGCCTGAGAGCACAGAGCGATGCCCCTTCCTACTACCGGTGTACTCGTTCCATGAAGAGCCTCCCAGAGCGCGTGGGAGGCCCCAGCCATTCAGACCGTAAACCCACAAATGCTCGGGAGTGTGCCTGGGACACAGTAAGCAGTACATGGTAACCATTCTGTTGGTAACTACACTCAAAAACTGAAAATCCAAACACAAAACTGAAAATTATGTTCATGTCACCTAAAAATTAAGATCATAAAACCCAAATCTTAAATACTCAAATGTCTTAGGTTTGCTTCATTTCCATAAGACAACTGGCTGGATGGGATAAAGAGGAACACCAGGAACACCAGGAACACCAGGAGAAGCCGCCTGGGGGAACAGCCCGCAGGCGTGGGAGCCGACAGGACAGCCTTCTGTCCAGGAGATGCGATGCCACCTGGGCGCTGGCCCATGGCAGTCCGATCCGCAGCCCGCTGCTGGCCTTGAAGTCTTCGGGGGACCATGAAGCTCCAGCACCAATGAACTCCCTGACCCACTGCTGGGGACAGGGACCAACATTCGGAGGTCAAATGGTGTTTCGGAGGAGGTCTTCTTATTATCAGCTCTGCACAAACCCTCAACCCAGTTAGCTCGCCTGGAAAGCTATAAAGTTACAAAGCACTGGCTACAGGAGGAGCTCAAGCAGATTAAAGCACAAGGTCAGATGAAGCTGCCTCAGTCCAGGCAGCCTAGAGAGTCCTGCAACTCAAACAGCAGCACTGGTGGTGGCTTTTACTTCTGTACCGTGTGTCCCGGAACCTAATTATGACTTCAAGTTTTGAATTCTACTCTTAATTTCAACATGCTAAACAGCATACACGTCCGAAAATATCCTTTGTTGCATTTCATTCCCACAAGTTAAGATGAATTTTCTACACTTTTGTGCTAGAAATTTCCCTTAATAAAAAGTTTAAAAGGTCTTTCAGAAAGGAAAAAATTCTTTTAATTTCAAGAAGCAGGCCCTGTTTAACTCTTTAATTAGTTTCAAATACTTTCATAAATGATACTGAAAGCATTACTTTAAAAGAATTGCCTTATAAACTGCAAAAAGGCTAAAATTGAGAGCAAGCAAAGAGAAAAAAGAAGGAAAGAGGCCAACCAGAGTCCCAGCTGTGGGAGACGCCCTCCCGGTGAGGCTGGATGCAGCTCCTTGGGTCATTTTTAAAGCTCACCTGCCATACAATTAAGTGGCCTGTTCAGCCTGATCTGAATTTACAAGGTTTACAATAAAAAGTTCAGCTTTTACACAAAGAGTGACCTCCTTCCCACAATCTTTTAAGTGTCTAGTTTGTAAGACTGCGCCCACATTGGGTAAGTGAAGAAACACAGCAACTGCACGACGGAGAGACGCATGTCCTTCATCGTCACCAACCCACGTGCCAGGTTACTCTTGCCGAATGGATTCCCAACCTGGCTCCAGGAGAAACAGGAAGAGGCAATTCTCAAAACTAAATACCAAATGTAAAGATAAATAATATTTGACAGCAAAAACATCTTGAGTTAAGAACTTGGTCATGGGGGCACCTGGGGGGCTCAGTCGGCGAAGCATCTGCCTTTAGCTCAAGTCATGATCTCAGGGTCCTGGGATCGAGCCCTGTATTGGGCTCTCTGCTCAGGGGGCGGGGGGGGGGGGGGGGGGGGGGGGCTGTTTCTCCTTCCGCTTGCTCGCTCTCTCAAATAAATAAAAATCTTTTTTAAAAAAAATTTGTTATGTATTTGTCTGGCTGACCATCAAAGGCAGCTGAAAATTTAAACGGATGACCAATGACCACAGGAACAAGGCAACGGGACAACAGTCTAACATCTCAGAATCAGGAGTCAGGATGACCACATTGGAGCTGCCGGCACCTCAAGAGGCCTCTTTGTGAGACCCTGTCCACTTTCAAAAGAACCCATCCATACCTTCTGTATCTCACTCTGACCCCGCAGGGCAGGTCTCGTTAAACACAAAATGTCCCTGGGCCACTGACCGCAACCAGATAGCGATGTGCTCAGTTTCAGATCCCCATGACCAGGGGCCTTTTGGGACATTCTGTGAAAGTATCAGGATCACAACAGCCCCCAAAGGCCCTCCGAGAAGTCACTTGGCCTGGCTGGCTTCTGCCCACATTAGCATCCTGTCACACAGCCCAGTTCTGGGAATAATTCACATGGTAGTAATCTTGTGCTCAAACAATTGCTTTTTAAAAAACCAACAGCAGAGTAAACATTCAGGGGCTCAAAATGGACTTTCAACCCAAAACTTAGATTTTAAAATGTAAGAAAAACTGATGCAATAAAAATGAAAGTTGATCAGGGTGGGAGAGTGTGGTGGGCATCCCAGTGACACAGCCTCCTTATAAATTCGCCCACACAAGGAGCACGTTTTCTCGCAGGTAGGGGACCGCAGCAGGACCAGCGGCCCAAGTGTTCCTGAGCTGTGCAGCCTTTCTTGCTGTTCATACTACGCTGTCGCTTATGAAACAGACTATAAGGATAGTGACAACAACAGCGAGCTCTTTAACAGTATGTTTAAATTAAAAGTAGATGATGCTGTTGGTTCCTTATTTTTTTTTGTTTTACTTGAAATTGTTTGATTCTGACTCAGTCTCAGTGTGATCAAACATAATACCTCAAAAAAGTATCTTTTTTTTTTTTAAAAGATCTCATTTATTTATTTGACAGATCACAAGTGGGCAGACAGGGGGGGGGGGGGGGGGGACCTGGGGAGGGGAAGCAGGCTCCCCCGCAGAGAGCCTGATTCAGGGCTCACAAGGCTCGATCCCAGGACCCTGAGATCATGACCTGAGCCACAGGCAGAGGCTTAACCCACTGAGCCACCCAGGCGCCCCCCAAAAAACGTATCTTAATGTGACATCTGATTTTCTTGGTGTGGCCTGAGCTACTTCGCTGATGATTCATCTTTCCTATCTTACTATAATGTAGAGGAATCCACTGATGTCCTCAGAGCTTGGAGGGCTCAAACAGCTAAAAACAAAACATAAATGAATAAAAACAAATGAGCTTAGCCACTTAGAGAAGTCGTTAGAAGACAAGCTCTTGGGACAAAAGCAGACAAAACACCTGTAAACTGAATCAAGGTAAACAGGAAACCAAAGCAAGCTACATGAGTGACACTAAATTCAGAAAAGATTATCTGCCAAAAGGAGGACAGTGGTCTACCTACAGACCTAACAGACTAAACAGGAATGTGGGAGGAGACTCAACAGTCCTGCGAAGGAACTCTCTGGAGGCAGAAGCTTCCATGCAGCAAGGGCAGAGAGGAACCCGACTCTGCCCCAACCTGTTTAAGGAACAGCACCGCATGAACCCGGAAAAGTGTCTACACGAAGTTGGTCCCAAGCGTTTGACAAGTGTGGCTCGTCCCTCGGGGCACCCGGGGTCTGCACATAAGGAACTGTCACCCGCGATAGTGAGGCACGTGGAGCGTCCCGCTTTGCTCGATCGTAATTGCCACGCACGGTCGCGGCTCCAGCTTGCGCGCTGTCCCCCATCACCACCCTCCAAAGTCCTGGTGCCGGTGTCCACAAGAGGCTCCCAAGTTGTGCCCAAGAGGCCCGCCCCGCCTTCTTTCGGAGAGAGGAAACAAGGAAGGGGACCCAGAGACACCCAGAAGGCCGTCCCTACGCGCGGGAAGACAGCTGCAGCGCGGGGACGCCCCTGCCGCCCCCCCACCCGCGCGCCGCCTCACCTTCCTCGCTCACGTCGTCTACGAAGTCCTCGGGGTCGCTGAAGGAGGGCTCGTCTGCGCCGCCGTCCTCCCCGCCCGCCCCCTCGGACCGGGCCTCGGCAGCCGCGTCCCCGGCCAGCTCCTCCGGGGCCTCACCCGCGGCCGGGGCGGGGGGCTCTTCAGTCGGCGGCGGCGGGGACGAGCCGGGGGCCGAGGCGGCCCTCTCCTCCCCGTCGGCCGCGGGCTCGGCCGGCTTGGCCAGCACGTCGGGCTCCGACCCGGCCTCCGCGTCCTCGCCGCCCGCCGCCTCCTGCGCGCCGGACCCCGCGGGCCGCGGCAGGTCCTCCCCCGGCGGCGGCTCTGCGGCCGGCTGCTGCTGCTCCCCGGGTTCGGCCGCCTCGGGCGCCGCCACGTTCTCCGCGTCCTGCATGGGCCCGCCGCTGCCGCCTCGCCCGGCCTCGCCGCGCTTCCGACTCTCCCAGGCCGCACCGCGCGGCGCCTGCCGCTGGGCCATGTGCGTGCGGTGGGCCGTCCCACGGGGCTCGAGGAGGGGGGCAGCCCACGCCCTGATGTTCGCAGCGTGCCCAGAGGGGCCCCGGAGGCGCAAGCGTGTGCATCGACAGCCATAGCAGCGCGCTCATGACACGCGCGCGCTCGGATCCTCGCAACACTCTTGCGGGGCTCAGTCCGCAGACTCACGGGGGGGCTGCGGCTCTCCCCGTCTGTGCTGCCGGGTGGTTCCGTCCAACATGGCAGCCGCTCCCGGCTTCTCCCGGCGGGCGCTGCGCCGTGGGGCCAAACCACTGGCCACGCCGAGGGAGGGGCGAGAGACCGGCTTAGTAACTGAAATTGCATGAGCACAGAGCTCTACAGGACACCCTAGAAAAAGCTACGAGCTCGACGAACGCTCTTGGTCGTGACACAGCCTTTCGCTAGACAAGTACCCTCGCTTACACGAATAAGCTCCTCCCTCTTTGCGTGCGCTTTTAGACTCGTCTACTGACTGGGCAAAAGAATGGACGATTCCAAAATAGAAAAGGACCTCCCGCCGGCCCAGAGATGGCCAGCACTGTTGGAAAGAAGCCTGTCCTGCGTCAGAGCCCATGAGGGAGAGTAGCATGAATCATACTCCCAAGCTCACGGCGGCGGCGGTAATTCCGTCTTCCCCCATTCCGAGGGGCACCATGGTTCCGCCCGCGGAGGACTCAGCCCTCAGAAGCGCAAGCGCGCGGGTGGGAGGGAGGCGCATCACTGGTGGGCGTGGCCTGCCGCTTCTGAGGCGGGACCTGACGCCGCGGGGCGGGGCCGGCGCTGGCAGGTGCGCCCGTACGTGTCCAGCGCGGGTCCGCTGCGGTCGGAGGGGGATACGATGGGGGTCGGTGTGTACCGGGTACCGAGGCTCAGGCTGTACTTTCGCAGATGTACTTTCCCTCAGTCGGAACAACACGGGGGCTTATTTTCAACAGAAGGTTCTCGACCTGGGTTCTGACACTGGGTTCGAATGATCGCCGTCCTACTTCAGCTGTGCGGCCTTTCTGCCTCAGTTTCCCCATCTGTGCGGACAGCCCGGTTTCCCCTGGAGGTCAGAGTTCACCTAATTTCTAGTTGCATCTGCGGTTTTCATCCGTCACTGGGTTCTGACAGCCTTTCTCTGGTAGAAAATGCTGAAGGTGACAGATCCACCAACAGGAAGCAGATATGCACAGAAAAGCTTGGAAACAGCTGACCTCAGCTGGGCAGCGACGTGTGTTTTGGGGAAGGTTTTGGGGGCATGCATGTGCGGCATAGAGCTGCTGACTGCTTGTTACTGTTTCTCTGTGAGGGGCCTTGTCATTTCTTTTTCTATATATATATTTATTTAAAGATTTTATTTATGGGGCGCCTGGGTGGCTCAGTGGGTTAAAGCCTCTGCCTTTGGCTCAGGTCATGATCCCTCTGTCCTAGGATCGAGCCCCGCATCAGCTTCTCTGCTCAGCAGGGAGCCTGCTTCCCCCTCTCTCTCTGCCTGCCTCTCTGTCTACTTGTGATCTCTGTCTGTCAAATAAATAAATAAAATCTTTAAAAAAATATTTTATTTATATATCTGAGACAGAGAGAAAGAGAGAGTATAAGCAGGGGGAAGGGCAGAGGGATAAGCAGGCTCCCCACTGAGCAGGGACCCGGATGTGGAACTCGACTGGAAGACTCCAGTATCATGACCCGAGTCAAATGCAGACACTTAACCAACTGAGCCATCCAGGCCCCTTCATATATGTATATGTGTGTGTATATATACACATATATATGTATGTATTTTTTAAGTTTATTCATTTATGTATATAATCTTTATGCCCAACCTGGGTCTTGAACTTACAACCCAGAGATCAAGAGTCCCATGTTCTTCAAAAGGAACCAGCCCAACACCCCAGCCTCATCATGTCCTTTAACGCAGGTGATGGGAATGTGCCCCCCGATGCAAAACGAGACATCTCTTCGTGTTGTAGAGAGCACCCCAAGACCATCTGCTATCCCACACCCCCAAAAGTCTGAAGCACCCCACAGAAGCAGTTCCAAGTGTGTGAGGGGCCCAAGTGGGGTGTGCTCTGTTGAGGGTATGGTGGTGAGCAAGGAATGCACAATTCTTGCCACCTTAGAATTACGGTGTTAAGAGAGACAGCATGCAGGAATCAAAGCATCCTGGAAGTTGGCATCCGTGTTCATAATCTGTGATGGGTTCATCAATCCCAAGCCAGACCCTGCTGCCCTCCAGGGCGGGTGCACTTAATCAATCTAAGGAACAGAACGTAGCAGAGTGACACTATGTCCCCTCTAAGTCTACGTCCTAAAAGTGATGGGCCTCCACCGGGAGCTCGGTCTCTTCTCTCGGCTTGCTGGCTCTGAACTAAGCTAGCCACCGCGTGCCCTAGGGATACTCAAGCAGTCTGTGGCAGGGCCCCGGATCAGGAGCAACAGGACTCCCCACCGACATCGGCTCCAGGCATCAGCTCCGGGTTGTCCAACAGGACAAATGGAGGTGGGACCCACAGCCCCTGCCCCTGTCCCAAGAGAAACCAGACCCGCTCACACCTTGACCTTGGACGTCCAGGCTGCAGAATCGTGAGACCCGTTCCATGGTATTCTGTTACGGCAGCCCTAGTAGACTAGCACAATAGGGAAATGCATATAGTACCCAGAGAAAGACCTAGAAGGAGACACACAAACTGAAAACGGGCTCTGAGAAGGCAAGTAGCATTGGAGATGCTGATAGAAGAAAACTGATCACCGTAGAATCGTGGCAGTAGGTTTGTTAACTGGCCCCTGTGAGGTTCTTTCAACTTCTCTATATGTTTTCACATTTCATAGTAAGTTACTGGGGTGGAGGGAAGGAATAAGTAGCCAGCTTCAAGAGATTCCCCTTCTCCACCTGGGACCACGTGAGCTTCTAAAGAATAAAAAAATCCGTGTGTGATCTCAGGTGAATATTGCCAAATATCGTGTCACGACTCTGAAAATAAACCAAAGACTCAAGCAAAGAGTCATTAGTCTTGCCTTTAGTATTTTACCTTATACTTCAAGGTAAAATAGTTGGTTCTATCAAGAAGAATTTTAGCTAATAAATGCAAAAGCATCAGCAAAAGTAAGGAAGCAACCTTTCTTGACCCTTATAAAATAACGATGTTTGCTGTAAGGGTACAGAAACTCTGTCCCGGGAGGGACAAGGGTCCAAATCTCACATAGTGTGTGGGCTGTGTTTCTGAATACTGAAGGCTGTAATTCTCCCTCCCACACCACTTCAATTATATCCCACAGACTTACGTGGTCTTTCTGTTGAAAAGGGTGTTTCTGATTTCCGTGATGATTTCCTCTTGGACCCACAGTTTATTTGGAAATGTGTCATTGATTTCCAAATATTTGAGGATCTTCCAGATAGGTTTCTAAAATGAGTTTCTTGTGCGATGATGTTGTGGATAGAGAGCATACTTTGTAGGATTCCGGTCCTTTTTAAAATTTGAGATTTGCTTTCTGGTCGTAGTGTGACTCACCTCAGTGAAGGTTCCTCGTTGGCTTGGAAAAGGTACTGTGGCTGCTGGATGGAGTGTGGTGTGTCAGGTCGAGTGGGTGGACAGCGCTGTTCAAACCTTCGGAAACCTTTCTGGCTCTACCATTGCTCGGAGAGAGACGTCGGAATCTCCACTTCTTGTGATGGATTTGTCTATTTCCCCTTTGTCTTGTCCCTTTCTTCCTGGATATCGTGTTTTGTAGGACATGCAGACACATAATGAGGGTGGCTTTGCCTTTTGGATGAACTGACCCCCGTTCCCATTTTATTTTATTTTTTAATTTTTTTTTATTATTATTTTTTCCCCGTTCCCATTTTAAATACTCCTTTTCCCTCTCACTATTATGTCCTGTTCTGGAGTCTGCCGTGTCTGACTTCCAAGCTGACTTCCAGCTTGCTTTTGAACAGTGTTTGCATGGTGTCCTGCATTCAGCTGTGTCCCCTGGAAAGACACGCTCGTCCCAGCCCCCAGGACCTGTGGATGTGACCTTATAGGAAACAGGGTCTTCACAGACATCAGCAAGTTGAGTGGGCCCTAATCCAGTGACCAGTGTCCTCATGAGATGGAGAAAACTTGGACAGATTGTGGAAGGAAAGAGCACGTGAGGATAGAGACACAGGAAGTGGTGGGTGCCAAGGCCGAGAACGGTCAGGGGTTGTGGGCAACCACCAGCAGCTGGAGAGGCTTGGCAATGGATTCCCCCTCGGAGCCTCCAGAAGAAAAAACCCACGGACTCCTTGATTTCAGATGTCTCACCTCCAGAACTGAGGGAATAAATTCCTGTTGAACTGCCCAGTCCATGTTCATTGTCATCTCTGGATAGCTGGATATTTAAAGAGGGTTTTACAGAGAGCATCTAGTAAGACCTCCATTTTAATCCAATCTGTTCATCTCTGCTTTTAAGGGGAACGTTTATCTCATTTGTGGCTGATGCAATTACTGTTCCTTTTTGGGATTAAGTCCATTTTCCGTCTGTTCTTTGTCCTTCTTTTCCTGGCCTTTTAAACACTTGATTGACAATTCTTACACAAGTGGCAGCAGGCTCCAGGCGCCATAAGGCACCATATGTCACTTAGTTTATCATAAACTCTTTCCACGTCCGTACACAGAGATCCACGTCCTTTCTCCCCACAAAGAGAACACCTGGGACGTGTGAGTGTTCTCCGCATGCAAGTTAAATGGACTCATTTGAGGGAGACCGATACCAGACGACGGTTACCCACAAACCAGGCAAAAGGATGTTTGCTGAGAGAGAGACCTGAAGTCCTGGGCTGAGTGCAGCCCGCTGCTGGCCTTCCTGAGGTAGCATTCCCATTTTCATCTGTTATATGATTAAAGGCGATGACCTAGGTGATGCAAACCTAATTTAACACTTCGCAAGGCGGACCGTCTCCATTCCGAGAACCGCGAAATGGGGAGCAAGGCACGAAGCTTCCAT